TGGGTTTGCTGCAAACGGCGGCTGCTAACCGCTCGGTGGCCCGGACGGCCCTGAACGACCGATCGTCCCGTAGCCACTGTGTCTTCCAGCTCCGCATCCGAGGCTCCAATCCTGCCCGGGACCTGCACTGTGCCTGTGAGGGGGGGCTGCAGGGCCCTTTTTGGGGGGGCCCCTTGGGTTTGGGGACACCCTTTCAAGACTGCTGGTATGGGGTGAGGTTGGGGGGCACCTTTTAGGGGATCATGGGTTCAGGGCCACCTAGTTTGGGGTGAGACTTTGGGGGGGGCACCCAGTTTGGGGCAAGACTTTAGGGGCCACCTAGTTTGGAGTGAGCACTTTTTGGGGGGGCCCCCCACCTTTTTAGGGCTGCAGGTTTTGGGGTCACTGGTTTGGGGTGAGCCCTTTTGGGGCCCTATGGGTTCAGGGTCCCCCCTTTTGGTGTTACCAGTTGGGGGGGGCAGTGTCACTGGTTTGGGGTCACTGCTTTTCGGGGGAGCCTTTTAAGCCCCCCTCCCTACTTCTTGTGGGCCACGAGTTTAGGCTGAGCCCTTTTGGCCTCTTTCTTTTCAGGGCTACAGGGTTTGGGATGAGCCCTTTTGGGGTGAGTTATTTTGGGAGTGATGCTTTTTTTGGGGTGCCCCCCCTCATTTTTTTTCCTGCCCCCCCAGCGGTGCTGAGCTTGGTGGACCTGGCGGGCAGCGAGCGGCTGGACAAGTCGCTGTCACGGGGGGAGCGGCTGCGGGAGACACAGGCCATCAACCCCAGCCTCTCCACCCTGGGGCTGGTCATCATGGCGCTCTCTAACAAGGTTTGAGGGGGGGTCACTGGGGTTTGGGGGGGCCCTGGGGTTGGAGAAACCCTCTGGGGTTTTGGGGGGGGATCCTTAGAGCTCCCCTTCTTAACCCCTGTGATTCCCGCAGGAGCCCTATGTCCCTTATCGCAACAGCAAGCTGACATACCTCCTGCAGAACTCCCTGGGGGGCTCTGCTAAGATGTGAGTG